AAATTCCAAATTGAATTTTAAAATATCTTTGAATTCCTCATAAGGTCATATATCGGGGAATTCTCCAAAATTTAAATTCAAATTTAAAAACTACGATTGACTTGATTACCTATCGGATACGTAGGCAACCTAAAATTTTGGTGCAGTTTCAAGACCAGATTCAATCCTAAAAATCCTCATAAAAGACAAAGTCAAAACAAAACTAAATCAAATTTCAAAGTGCGTAAATTCCTGATAAGGTCATACACCGAGGAATTATCTAAAATTTCCAAACCCAAAATTTGAACTACAAGTGGCTTGATCCCTCAACGGGGTATGTAGGCAACTCGACAAAATTTATTGAGTTCAGCCATAATTTTAAATCAACCCAAATTTCCCAAATTCACAAAAAAATAGTATTTACTATTTTAATTGGAATCAAAAGGTTTTCTCTTGTACCAAGGGATTGTAATTAAGAGGTTATTCTTATAATCTTGAATAGGTCAAACTAAAAATAATAAACTCCTATACTAATTAAATCCTAATATAAGTAAAATTATGTTGTGTGTGAAATATTATTTTAATATCAATAAATATTTTTACCCAACACACCTGGTACTCAATAATATAAGGCATGAAAATAGAAACCCGTTAGATTTTCTTGCAAATTTCCTAAGAATACCCGTCACTTTCACAGTAACATAATTTTTACTCATTGCCATATACCAAACCTCTCCAATAATAACACCAATAGGACAATTTTGTTTCAGTAATTAATGCCCTGTTTGATCTGTTGGTTTGAATTTTATTGATTTGAATTTTTTATTTGAACAAAAAAATTTAAACTGTGTGTTTCAATTTGTAGTTTGAATTGACGTTTGAATATGCAGTTAAATTTTTAATCTGAATGTGGAATAAAATTTAAATTTGTGTTTGGTAGTTATGAAAAGAGAGTGGACACATTTTTAAGGTTTAAAAATAGTTTAAACGGTTGAACTTTAGAGGGAGTTAAACTCTAAATTTGACAGTTTAACTCAGTTCAAACGGAAAATATAATTTAAGCTGCGTGCTTACCAAACTTGAAATTAAATTGTGCTTATTGTTTAAATTGAACTACATTAGTAAAATAAATGGGGGTTAAATGACTTTAATTACACGAAAAAGAAAAAAAAAACTAAATGACTTTAATAACATGAACTCGTCACATGTGATTTATACAATTAGAGTGCCACTAGGGGTTTGGATGGGGTGAGGCTTCAAGAGAATACGGGTGTTTGAGTCCACTAGGTATAAAAAATATATTTAAAAATAAAAAAATTTAAAAAATCAGCTAGCTTTTATTATCATAAAATAAGTTCATTAGAAAAACTAATATCTTTAAATACTAGGAATTGGCTACTAGGGCATGTATACATGATCTTGAGATATCAATCACAATCAGATTAATCATTATTGATATCTGATTTTGTACCAAGTCCATTTAAGGGTTCAAGCCTAACTATGACATTACACGACGTTATTGGGCTCGCTTTGTGAACCCAAGTCACGCTCGAAGAACTCCCGTGGGTTGTGGTTTGATGGACCATGTGTGATCAAGTAGCCCGTTTGTCGTTTAATTCGATCCCATTTGAATCCCACTTAGATGGTTTAGAATTAATCGGATTAAATACAAATAAGTGATGGAGAATTCTCAAAAAGTCTTCCCCCGTCCTTTTGGAAGCCCAAAATCCCTAACTCCATGCCTTGGAACCTCTTCCTCTTTGTCAAGGTTTATTCTCAGTGTTTTGACTCTAACGGAGGCTCTACTCGCGCTAGACATGCCTAATGGAGGCTCACTCTGTGGCAAACATGTCTCCCGGAGCATCCTCTTCATATCCAAGTATGCCTAACGGAGCCTTTTCCGTATCAAGCATCCTTCCTTTGGACTTCTTCTTATCCAGCTCACCATCGGAGTAATCTTTACTTGGAGCATGCTCACCTTTCGAAGCAACTTCACCCGGAGCAACCTTCGTTTGGAGCATGCTTATTATCGAAGCAGCTTCATTCGGAGCAACTTTCATGTCAGAGCCAACTTGACGGCCAATATCATATTAACCATCTCTGACAAGGTCTGACATCTGATCAGACCCCGAAGTAGGAAGTCAACGAAGCACAAAGTTGAGTCAAACGCTCTTGAGAATTTGAGACTTTAGAACTCTTTACGTCAGCTCCAAATCCAGAACTTTGCCTCCAAGTCTTTTCATTTTTAGGTCTTTTCTTTGTCAATCCAGAAAGTCACCTGATCACCTTGCTCCAAAGGGAATTACGTGTTCAGGTCTCCATCAGAGCGCCGCCGATTGGGCTTCAAAGCAGCCACCATGAACCTTTCTTTCTATTTCTGGACCATCTCTTTTTCAACCCCAGAAAGGCTTCTGGTAACTTTGCTCCTTTAGAGCGCCGCCGATTCACCTCTAGAGTAAGTTCCCAGAAGTCTTCATTTCATTTTTAGCTAATCTCCTCTTCAACTCTGGAAATGTGTCAGAAAGCTTTGCTCCATCAGGATTGCTTGTGCAGGCGTCTGTTAGAGCACGTCGTACGAACCTCCGGAGCTGCCGCCAAAATCCTACCAACTTTACCTATACATACCCTCATCTTCCGCATTCTAGATGACGGGAAGACACCTAAAATCTTTGAGCCCCCATCTCCTTCATTTTATAAGTTGAATCTGTCATCATCACCAGCCACTATCTTCATCCTTTTTAGATTACTCTCTCCCTTCCTTCAAACTTCTCTAGTCTCTTGCTACAGGGACTTGAAGTCCTTCAAGCTCTTCGAGGTCTTTCAAAATCTCCAAGTGTTGATAGCATTAGAAACTTTTCCAAAACACTTTTCAATCCATTTCCAGTTTTGCACCACCATCTCAAAACTCTTTGAAGTTTCTTCATACATTTTCGATGACATTCAATTTTTCATTTTCGAGGTCACTTCCGCTCACCGTCGGAGCAAGAGCTCTGAGCGCCGTTCTCACTCCAAGAGCAACATGCGCTACTCTTGAAGTTCCTTTCACTAGAGCCTTATCCACCTCACCAACTTCGCTCTCACTCTCCTCTAAGCCTTATCCACCACTTGAGTCACCATTTTCGTTCTTGGAGCAGCCCGCGCTTGTCTCCAGACCACTGCTATATCAAGGCACCTTCGGCTTCCTCTTCTCCATCTCCATCAACTACTTGGTCACACCTCTCACCATTCTTCATCTCCGGAGTTCTTTCATTTGTGTTTGTGGATACTCTAACATATTTTGCAGGATATTTTCGTCATTTTGGAAACAAAAAGGGTCTTAGGACACACGTCTTTCGGCCAATTTGGGCCTAACCGACTCTCCCTCTTTGTTGGAGGTCCCGCCATCATCATTTACTTCGAAGCTCAACCACGTTGGATCCGCTTCTAATAAATCGCGTGCTTACACATGTCAACTCCCGACACATCGACTCTCTGAATCTACCGGACCCCGACAATCATCAGGGCAGAATTCCTGAAAAATTGGCCATTGTGTAGTCTTTGTACCATAGAGAACCTCGTCTATAAAAGCATCAAATTTCTTATTAGCATTTTCTCTGTTTTCATTTGTTGTCGTATGCTCCAATGCTTCAATGTCGTCCATCAAAGGCGACCACCTTGAATAAGTGTCGTTGCTAGCGTTCTTGATCTTTTCTTGATCAGCATCAGCTTTCGTCGTTTTATCTTCTTGCTTGTCGTTTTTGCTGCTTTCGCTTTGCTCGTTATTCATTCTTGGCCACTTTAGGAGTCATTTGGTTCATAGATTAGAACCATGTGATTAAAATTATTTTCGATTTACGTGTATTTTTTGTGAGAGAAAATACTGTAGCGAACCACGAACCATGATTCGAATCAGGGAACGAATCTAGGTACTAAACATCCTCTTAATTTGCTCTTCGTCTCTACAAAGTATGAAACTATTATCAAGAAATTGGTTAAAATTTGAAAGGAAGGCTTCAAAGAAAAATACTATAATAGCATCAATTTGAATACTGATCGACAATTGAAGGAAGGGTTGTTTTTTATGGACAATTGAAGGAAAGAGTAAAAAAACGGGGGTTTATATAGTGATAAAAATTAGGACACACGAGTCCTATTAGGAATGTGTGTTTGTATTAGTTTCTAACTAGGACTCTTGAGAAAGCAGTTCAAAAAAATAAAAAATAAAAAATAAAAAATGAAAAAAGTAAATCTCATAAACGGCCGTTCAAAATTTTAAAATATCCCAATTTTTTTTTTTTACTGATCAGAATATCCCTAATTTAATTCATGATTATCATTTTGTTACAGTTTTAATACTTTTTTTTTATAAGCGTCTATAGATAAAAGGATAAATTATGCGAGCAATGCTAAAAAATCTCATGTTTTATTAAATAGAATGTAGGGCGGTAATTCGGGTAGCAACACGACGGCACACTTGAAATCTTCACGAAATTAATGTGTTTGAGTTTATCATAAATAGGTTTAGGTCAAAATTAAGTTGAACCTGTGAAACATAATTAAATAACGTGTCGTTTTCAGGTAGACCTACTAATCTGTAATTGACCCGCCATAACTCGTTTATCAAACATATCATATTTGAGTAACACGAATAAATAATACAATTATAACACGTTTATTACGGCCCGTTCATTTCACCAATTCGAATTTTACTACAGTAAAAAGCTTTTAAAAATAATTACGTCTAACTTTTATTACAATAAAAAACGGTTACATAAAGCTATATCTTAATTCAAATTAAAAATTTAAATCAGTTACATGTTTACAACTCTATTGTTTTTAAGAAAAAATAGTTAAATACTTAGGGGTTGTTTTTTTGGAGTGTAACTTAAGTGTAATTTTTGAGTTAAATTTAAATTATAACTTAAGTTAAAATTAAAACTTAAATAAAATTAAATAAAATTAAATAAAATTAAAACTGAAAATAACATGAACTTATCTTTTTTTTTTTGAGTTTTTTGGACAAAAGAACGTACCCTTAATAATATGTACTTCTTTTCTTAGCTAGGCTTTCGGTTTTTACTTCTTTTCTCTCATTTTCGCCCGCCGCTATCTCCTTCTCCTGTTCTCCAGACAGCTCCGCCGCCGCTTCTTCTTGCGGCCTTGCTTCTTCTTCTTCTTCTTCTTCTTTCATCTACGCCCTATTCGCTCCGTCATCTCTCTGGACTATCTCCGCCCTATTCTTTGCTTCTTCTCGGCGTTGGGGAAGTCTTCTTCTTCTTCTCGGCGGATCGGCCTTCGGGAAGTCTTCTTCTTCTTTGCTTCGGCAGCTCCGTTTCAGGTATTTCCCATTTCTCTCCTTTTCTCGTTTTTTTTTTCCCTTTTTCTCAATAAGAAGCCCTACTTACTGAGTCAAAGTTTGTCTGAAATGATCTGTTCATGAAAATACTGTGTTGAGCTCAACAAGATTAAGTGGTCAAGCAAGCACTTTGTGAATTTTACTAGGAGTTTCTGAAAATCCTAAAGGAAAAAAAAAAGACACCAATATCTCACCCCACAACGGATTTCTGAGTCGTCCGAGGGGCTATATATATTGCAGAGGTTGGAAACCATAAGAGAAACATGTTAAGGATTTAAATTACGGAGGTTTTTTTTCTATAGAAAAATTATGTTTTTCCCCCTTTTTATTGGTGGGAATTTTGGTCAGAGAAAAATGGCCTCAAAACAAGGCAGGTTTGATCAGTGTTTATGTTGTATTGAGCTTTGTAAGTGTTAATAATTCATAGATGATGAAATTGAGTTGGAATACTTTTACTAGTACTGTTAATATATAAATTCTTATGGTGTCATAAGCTTAGATCTTTATTTATTTTGGCGATGAAGGAGATCGGCTCCGATCTGGATTTCCATGACCACCCAACGAGTTCTAGTGTCGCAACACCTCCCACGAGGTTTTGGTTTTATAGCGTGATGTTTTGCATTGTTGATCTAATTTTGATTTTGGTCCAAAAATTTTGACTTAGATTTCTGTGGTAAAAAAAATTATTTTGCAGTGGTGTGATTTTGGGTTTTCAAACCAGATATTAGAAGATTAAAATTAGAACAATAAAGGAACTTATAAAAAAATAATAAATAAAGATCTCTTTGCTCGTTACCATGAATGATAGAAATCGTTAAGATTGTAATTACAATACTAGGGGAAAAAATGAAGAAAGAATTAGAACAGATTCACCGTCAGAACTTGCAATTATGGTGAAAAGCATACTTGAATAATAGAGCAAAGTATATGCTTTTCACATGACCAAGTGGGTAAGGGTTGTTTTTCTTAGAAGGTTATTTATTTATTTATTTTTGTGTTCTTTTTTCTTTGAGGGCACAGTTTTTATCATGATCATAAATTCGCATTTTGAAGGTATAAATGTGATGCAATTCAATGTGTGTATAATATATATATATATATACACACATATATATACATATATAATCTCTAGATTATCTTGTAAAACATTACCTATATTGGTATTGCAAAGAAGTATTTTTCAAGAAGAGTAGCGAGTTTTCTTGATTTTTCCTTTGAAAATTCAGATGGAGAAAGTTCTTATTAACTGCAAGTTCTGATGGTGAATATGTTCTAATTCTTTCAGTTCATGGATATTTGTTGCTAACCCAAGGATTTATGTCATTGTGACCATAAGGTTGATATGATAGTATTTCAAATCTTTGTTAAGGACTGCAGAAAAGAGAGAGGGGAGAGAAGAGCTTGACCTTTTAAGCAGTGATGGTGGAAGTGTGGTGGTCTCTCTTGGCCGCCATCCCCGCCGTTGTCGCGGGGCAAGCTTTTAGAATGAAGAAAAAGCACGCAGAAGAGCAGAGGTTGCAGAGCGCTCGGGGGAGGGAGAAGACTGCTGATGAGATTTTCGTCTGTGAGAGGGTGTGTACGTCAAAGAGAATGCTGAAAAGGGTTGGGGCGTTTTCCAAGGATCCGATTCCTGATACGTGTGTCACTGTATGCGGTATATCTGAGCTTGATGCTTGTGCTGATGCCTGCGCCCGCACAGTTTGCGTTAACCAACATCAAGTGCCTAATTGGAATGATATCTGCCTCCGGAGATGCCAGAGTGAATGTCTTAAACTCTCTGCTTCCCGGTCTTCTTAGTTCGGTCTTGTACATCTTGAATGATGAAATGTGTAAGGCTTCCGGTTTTTTTGTTGGTAGTGTTTGTTACTCCAATTTATGAGGCTCGTATCAATCGACGGTTGTGTATGTGCTTTAACTGGAAATCAATTTTAAGCCTCTGGCATTAACTTGAATATTTTCGATGATTGTTTTATAAGCGTCTTTGCTGCAATCTGTTATATAGATCTTGAAATTTTACACGCAAGTGTGGGATGAATTTCAGAAGTTTACATTTTAACTCCTTCCAGATTTTAGGTGCTTAGCCAACTTACAAGAACATGATATTACCAGTGATCCTCTCATCACATTTAAGAAAAACTGGTTAGGTGATGATGGAAGTGATTTTCTGCCATTTTCCTTTTCTGGGTTATCAAACTATTTACTGTCTAATCTTAAATGCTTCCGCAACTTTGTTTCATTTGCTATTCTCTATTGCTGGAACTTGCCAGAGATTTTTTTTTCAGCAAATGAAATTTGGAGTGCCAATTTTTCTCTCTACACAAGAAAAATTAGCACTCTTGCAAATTCCATTTTTGGCATTAAAACCTTTTTCAAAATCAAGGCCACATATTTTCAAGTCATCATATACCAATTTAAACATATCAAATCCAAGAAAAGCCTTCAAGATAAATTATAAGACACCAAACTACTACAAGCTCTTATCTTTAACCAATGAGAACCTTTGCAATTTTATGAGCTGAAGTTGATCAAATTTCTGTTGGTTTTTGAAAACGATTTTCAATACGGAAGTGTGTATCTAACGGATCGTGTATAACAAAAATTTTCACAAAATTTTGAGATACTCTATAGATTACATTATTATGCACGAATAAATTAATCAAATTAATTTATTTACTTAGCGCACAATTAGGTCGATAACTTGAGTTCTCTGACCACGAGCGTTCCTTGCTCCAAGCTAGTTTAGAATACCCAAATCTTTATCTTCAATTCCTTGAATCTATGAAGACGTGTGTGTGGGCACACCTGAAACAAAACGAGATTAGCAAACAAACACTCAAGTTTTCCACGAACACCAACATAGCACGACGTAGAATTTGAGAGAAAATTTTTCCTTTCCTCACTCTATAAAATTCGGCCACCTATGCTAGGGAGAGCAAAAATTGTGTCCTCCAATTTTCTACAATTCCCTATTTATAGAGTAGTAGTCAGACTTCCAGAAGAAGTCTAAACTTTATCTCCAAAATAAAACTTGATAATTATCTCTCATTTCTAATTGATTTTGGAAACAAAAAACACACTCTCTCTTGTCCTATATGGCCGGCCACCACAAGGAGATTCTTCCCTTTGGTAGGCGCAGATAGTCGATAGGGAAGAAGACAAAATTCTGCTTTTATCCTGCAGTCTAATTTTGACTCAAATTCAAATTCTAATTTAAGTCAAACTTAATTTAATTTGAATTTCAATTGGACAACTTATCAAACAAATCAATTGGATAACTTAGAGAACAAGCATCTAAATCCCAAAGGGATTCACAATGTGCTGGGTGTGTAGACTATGTGGACACCTTCACATGTGTATTCTAAAATTAAAATTTAAATAATCACATTATTTAATTTATAATTAGTTTTCAATTAATTATTCTTGAGCATTTTATTTTATAATTTCATAATTCTAAAATTTTCATTTTACCCCTAGTGTCTTGTAGGATTACAAGGACGGCACAGAGACTCATGGACCTATAATTCTGAGCGATAATATAATTAATAATTAACTAAAACTCTTTAATTAATTAATTATATTAATTCTAAAAGTTACTCCAATATAAACTTAGAATTGCACTCTAGTAATTATAGATATAAATTAATTCTAAAATGTGAAGTGTCCATTTGATATAGTCATTACATATATATCAATCCTCCATAAATAATTTATAATTAGAGCTAGGTGAAATCCGTTAACCTATCTAATTACATCTTTATTCTTGAGTATCATTAATTCTCTAATAGACGATGATTCATAAAACAAATTCATAAATCGGAGCTCCTACTAGTCTAAGTACTGAATCAACCCTTAAGAGAATTATTTATGTACTTGTTTTCTCAAGAAGGAATAGATTTCATCTTATATAATAACATTCTCGGCTACTCACTTTATCATGTCTCTAAAATACAAGAAATAAGATTCAACATCTCAGAATTTGTACCGAGTAAATCAAAAGAAACAAATTCATAAATAGGAGTCTGCTAATAACTCAGGATTGAGATCATTCTATATATGACCATTGGTAGACTCAATTATAATTTCTATACTTAACGAAAATTATCAGAAATTCATATTTTATCTGTCTCTTAGTTCAACACAATCTCATTATGCATAATACAATTATTCAATATCTCATCATATTAACAATGCGGATAACGCAATTCCATTCTAAATGTGAATGACATGTATTAGTAATGTTTTAATTAAATATTCTGAACTTTAATTAAATTCATTATGAATATCGTTTTGATTATTATTCTTAAATATTATCATCTCGCATATAACACATATATTACATAAATAATCATGAAATTTTCAAAATATTCATTAATATATGCACATAAAATAATAAATAAATTCTTTTATTAAATAAATAATAAACATCGTATTATATCTCATACTCCTAAAACACCGTTTCAAATAAATTCTGCGTCAGATTCTTCCCTAGAGACATCTTGGCTCGCTTTCTTTGCCGTCTTGTGCACGGTTTTTCCAACAACTTCAGCGGCCGATTCAGCTGATGCCTTAACCGTCTCTTGGCTAGTTTTTAAACTTTTCCCCACCGCATCTTTCATCATCCCTTGATTTGCTTTGTCTGAGCCCCTAAAGCTGAAAACAAACCACCGAAAGCTCGCTTAAGAACGCATTTTCGATGAGAATAAGCAAATGGGATTATTATTAATGACGAGAACTTACTCTAAGTTTGGAGGGAAATATTGAAGCTGAATCTCATGCATGGCAGTTTTGATCTTCTCCAAGGAACTCCGATGGGAATGTTTCAGTAATGAAATTGTGCGCCCCACTACCTTTGTGAAAGATAAATTCTCTTCCGTTGTTTGATCAATCTGTTGTCTTTCTTGTACTGTTGAGGGAATTTGAACAGAGATTATGAACAACCAGAAAAGAAACAATGCAGTTTTGCTGCTAGATTTATCCATGGCATTGAATTTAGAGGATTGGAAAAGGTCTTGGGATCATATTGGATTAAATTAAAGGCTATTAAGGCAACTTCCTAAGGCCCTTAAGGCCTCCTCGTTATTAGGATCATTAACTATATTTTACACCTCAAAGATTCTTTTATTAGAATTGTGCCATAATTGATATTTTATTTTAAATATCTTGTAATGCTCTTTCGAATGACTGTTCGATTGAAAAAAAAAAAAAAAAAAAAAAAAAAAAAAAAAAAAAAAAAAAACTACCTTTGTGAAAGATAAATTCTCTTCCGTTGTTTGATCAATCTGTTGTCTTTCTTGTACTGTTGAGGGAATTTGAACAGAGATTATGAACAACCAGAAAAGAAACAATGCAGTTTTGCTGCTAGATTTATCCATGGCATTGAATTTAGAGGATTGGAAAAGGTCTTGGGATCATATTGGATTAAATTAAAGGCTATTAAGGCAACTTCCTAAGGCCCTTAAGGCCTCCTCGTTATTAGGATCATTAACTATATTTTACACCTCAAAGATTCTTTTATTAGAATTGTGCCATAATTGATATTTTATTTTAAATATCTTGTAATGCTCTTTCGAATGACTGTTCGATTGAAAAAAAAAAAAAAAAAAAAAAAAAAAAAGAATAAAACAATATATATTGCCTTAATTTTGCTATAACTGTAGAACACGTGCCCTTAATTTAATATTTTTTTTAGCCTTAAAGTTGAATAATTTTCTTTTAATTTTGTCCTTAAGCACGCTCTCGTACCCAAAAAAAAAAAAAAAAAAAAAAAAAAAAAAAAAAAAAAAAAAAAAAAAAAAACACCTTTTAAAGAGTTTAAAAACATAAAGATTAATGTATAAATTTTTAACTTCTTTTATTCCACAAGAACTCTTGTTGTGTTTGGGGTTTTTGTTGCTTACATTTTTAGTAACAAGATGTGTTATAAGACATGAATATGGTACATGAAACTTGAGGAAAAATAAGGATTCGAAAAACAAGTTAAATCACTCAAAATAGATCCATAAAAGTTTTTAAAATTAATAAATAAATAAAAAGATGCAATTACAAGCAATAACTAATTGGAGTATCTTTCCAAAAATAAAAAATAAAAAAATAAAAAAAAAACTAATTGGAGTATCTAGCACATTAACCACTGAACGTTTTGGGCTCTACCAAATTGCCCCATGGCAATAAACTTCTAAGTTTGGCAATTTATGCATTCCCCCTCCCCCAATTACCTAAAGATAAAGCATTTAAAATGCATGGTCTAGATTTTTATCTTTTATTCTTGATTAATACATTTTTGACTAATATAGTTATTTAATTAAAAATGATATTAATTAAAAGTAAGGAATAAAAATTCAAACTCATACATTTTAAGTGGTATTTGTCTCCTTTTTTTTTTTAGCTAAATTGTTACAATGTGGCACATTTTGCTAATGATTTGAATTAGGATTTTCAAATTTGCCCTAACATGTTTTTTTATTCTGCTGATGATTGCATTATATTAGTGATTAAAAAAAACACGATTGATAAAATTTTCAAAATCCTAATTCAAATTCTAACATAAGCATTTAAATAACCCAACTCTCAATCCCTCAAATATGACGGCAACTAAGAACAAAATTTGTAAAATAAGCACAATACTACAATTTAGCAAGTTGTAGGTTGAATTGGTCAAAACTAGAAGTTAGATGACAAGTTATCACAATTCGAAAAGTCTAGGGGGGGAAAAGTGTCAATGCACTAATTGAGTCCCACGTCACACAGAGAAAATTTGAACCCGTTTAGTTCACTGATTCGAGTTTTTAATTTAAGTTGAGATGTGACTGTATGTGAGAGCTTTTTACTGAGCAAAAAAGTTAAATGTGACTGTTTCTGAGAACTTTTTACTGTAACAAAACTCAAATTATAAACTCAAATCGGTGAAATGAATGGAGCCGAATGGCAATTAATTCCTATATTTAAAAGCTTTATGAAAAAAAATACAAGTGTAATTGTTTAAAAGGCCTACATAAACTTTTTCCTAAGGTTCTAAATCATTTTTATTTCTTATTATGTTAGATTTTAAACTTGCAACGTGGGCTTCGTTGGAAATGAATCCCAAATATAAACATCGGAAATAGTAGAAAATATGCTAATATGAAAAGCTTAAGAAATTATATAGGCCAATTTTTAGTTATAGAAATTAATAGGCCATAACTTGTCAAGTTATGGTTCATAATCAGATAAGTTATGGACAAACTTGTCAAGTTATGGTTCATAGCCAGACAAGTTACGGACAAAAACCGTCAATAACTTGTCAAGTTATGATTCATAACCAGACAAGTTATGGACAAAAACAGTAATTTAGCTTATTTATAAACTTATGTACACTATTGGCCTATTAATTTTAATTCATCTCAAATCTTGGCATATTTCCCTCTTTCTTCCTATAAACATTGATGCAAATAGAAAATCTCAAAATAAATTTTTAAAAACAAATGTTTTGCTTCTATTATGTAGTCAAAGATTACCTTCTTTTTATAGTATTAATTCCACCAATTTCTCTGTCTAATCTTAAAAAGAAAAAAAAAAAATCCTTCTTTAACTCTCAAATGAACACTATTGTCCTTTGACGTATTCTCCACTGTGAATAATTGATAAATGGATTCTTTTATGCTGGTAGGAAGAATAAACACTGTGTCGGAAAATACGATAATTTGTGAAATTTTATGTTAGAATTCACAAACTCAAACCATAATTTATGAAATTTTAAATTATATGATGAAATTTGTGAAATTTTGAAATGTTAGAACGTATCTCTCAACACGGTGCCGAAAAAAGTATCTCAACAGCATAAATGGACCCTTGATAAATTATTAATATTTTTCTCAAATCTTTTTTCACAAATATAATACATACAATACTCTCTATTTATACCTTTTTGCCATCTCTATTGTATATATTAAATACAAATATACTTTCACTAGAAAAAAAGTTACAAATATGCTTTAAAATTATAATAAAATCAAAATAACCAACATATGATATATTGTAACGCCCCTTTTTGGTACTAAAAATGCCAGTGGAATCTAACTGCTCATAACAAAGTTGAAAACTGTGACTTTTTGTTCATTCGAGAATGTTTAAGCAATCAGACTTTTTGTTATAGCTTCAAACAGAAGGAAATGAGTTGGCTTATAGCATCTACTTCCTCACCGCGGGATAAGGGCTGGGGCGTTAACTAAGGCCCGTTTAATTTATTAATTCAAATTTTTAAAAAAAATAGTAAAAAATAAGTAATATGAAAAGTTTAAGAAAGTGTATAGGTTAATTTTTAGTTATAAAAATTAATAAATCATAATTTGTCAAGTTATGATTCATAATCAGATAAGTTATGGATAAACTTGTCAAGTTATAGTTCATAGTCAGACAAGTTATGGATAATTATGGACAATAACTTGTCAAGTTATGGTTCATAACCAGACAAGTTATGGACGAAAACAGTAATTTGACCTATTTATTAACTTATGTAAACTATTGGCGTATTAATTTTAATTCATCTCAAGTCTTGGCTTATTTCCCTCTTTCTCCTAATTTTTAATTCGAGTTGATATGTGATTTTATGTGAAAGCCTTTTACTATAATAAAAAAATTAGATGTGACTATTTCTGAAAATTTTTTTACTGTAACGAAACTTAAATTTTAAACTCAAATTAATAAAATGAATGGAGCCTACGTACTCAAACTGTTGGAGTGGCTGCCTTCGCCCCCACACAGGAATAGAAATGTCGCTACTTTCCCTTACTGTTCGAAGTAGGAGAGAAGGATTTGCGCATGTTGAAGCCATAAATTAACTTTGGTCAAAATTAAAAAATGTTAGGTATAGATGTCAACTACTTTTTTTCATAAAAAGTTTTTTTTTTTTCCGTCCAAACTCAAATGGGTGAAATAAACGAAGTCTTTAGTGTCCGTTTAGTTCGCTGATTACAGTAAGTGTCCATTTAATTTGTTGATTCGAGTTTTTAATTCAAGTTAAAATGTGACTTTATGTGAACTTTTTACTGTAGTAAAAAAAATTAAATATGACTGTTTTTAAAAGCTTTTTACTGTAAAAATTTAAATAAGTGAAATGAACAAGACTTAAAACTCTCCGGGAAGTACTGTACTTTTTATTTCTGTTCTGCTTCACCAGGGCTAAAGTCATTTCTCTCACCCTTTCCAGTTTTGTTGCTCTCCAGTTTATCCCTGTTACGTTCATTAGCAAGTACCAAGCGGCTAAATACGACTAGGATCTTACTGAAGGTGTTATTTGTCAGGTTTCAAAACTGCTTGCATATATAACTTTACATTACAACCAGTTCAAGTGGCACAATCAAATTGGTGATGACCCACATAATTACTAATTCTAAAAATCCAGTACACTGATTCCAGGATCATATTATAGTTGAAGCGAGCATTCAATAGCTAGTACTTGTAGTCAAAGAAATGTCTGAACCTTAAATTCCTCGAGGGGAGCCTGAGGCTGCAAGATCATAACATGGTATACAGTGAAAACATCGATGTAAGAATTTAAGATGAGCTGCTACTCAAATTTCTTGATCAACGACAAGTCGTTCAACATTTTCTCAATCGCTTCGTCGTCATGAGCCCGCCCCTTGCTCTGCAATTTTAGAAAGTAAAAAAATTATAATTATAAAATACCATCTTTTCAGAAAATAAAAGATAAGAACCCTATCAAAGGACAATACTCTGGAAGAGATGAGTACACAATCTCGGCTTCATTTTTTTTTTTTTTTTTCAATTAAAAAAGAAGAGGGGAGGGGGGTTTCAAGAAGTTCCAAATGGTTGAAATTTGATTACGCAATATTTGATTCTAATGTAAAGGGAAGCTTCGAAAGGAATAATGGCAATTAGCAACTGAAAGGTGCCTAATTATCCATGTTGAACTGTAATAATTATTCCAATTTGCTTCTTTCATTTCAGTTTTCGTCTGTTCATTACTATGGAGATGCATATGCACGTCAAGTGAATAAGTGCACCCAGTATGTTGGTCATTGTATACAATTATCACGAGATATTGTAAGGGAAAGAAAAAGTGTTTGCACTGGAGTAGAAATTGTGATAAAAATATACCCTTATAGATGGCACCATAGCAATAGCTTCCTCCACAGTTTCAGGGCACAAATTGCCGAGCACACAAAGCTGCAAAATGAAACAGAATACAACTATTTACATGATCTGCAGTCTCATACCATAACAACAAATCTCGCCAGAATGTACTATGTAATTGGGCATATTACCTCAAACTCAGCCAACTGATATCTGCTTAGGATTCTGAACAGCAGTTAAGATCAAACTTGTGTTGCTACATTGACCAAAATTTGGACGACGACAATTTGGTTGTGCATATTAGGAATTACTAGTAAAAACAACATTATCCTCAGAAATTAATTAACAACATTTCTCCATGAAAACATGATTAATAAAATATCGAGGCATTCTGGCTTTTGCCTAAATGGAACATAAGAAACTGTAAAGAAGACGAAGTACGAATGCTTAACTTGGTTATAGGCTTGATAAAATAAATTGGTAGTTTGTGTTGACAAAAAAGTGAAAATCGTTTCATTCAACTGCTTTTTAAAAGCTGAAATTCATTTGTGACAAAGTTGAAAGTTCTCTCATGTCTGCATCAATACTCATATGTAGTGACTGTGAATGAATAGGATATGAAGCTTTATTATCATAAATTGAGAATACTCCCCCTCACGGCAATTAAAAAACAAAAACAGTGACAATAGAACAAGTTAAGGATACTCTCGAACTTGTCTCACAGCATCAGGATTTTTATAGCGACTAAAACGCTTCACATATTGCAGTGACTTCTCGAAAACTCTGAAAAAGGAAGATAAAAACATAAGTTTGAGCGTAACAGAATCTGTAATACAAAATAATACAACTTACTGAAGATCACTACCTGACTAACTAATTCTACGTTCACTTGAAAGTGAAACTGCTGAAGTTATGGAACTGGAGATAAGTTTATTAAATGATTTAGTTGTAAAAGAGAGGAAAATCTTAGAACCGTTCTTTCCTAGGCAAGAGCACAAGCATATCTGTAAAATGCTAGGGTAGAAATGTGAAACTAAAGATGCAGAGCCACAGAAAATTAGATTGAACCATAAGAATCACATACTAATAATCACACCATTCAACAAATGGAGAAGGAGAAGTCAAATACTCACTGAGAAACTTGGTTCATTGGATCATCAGACGTCTGTTGAAGCTGCTCATACTTATGCTCGAGAATCAGAGCAACTTCACAATTCATCAAACATTTGGCCTTCAAAAACTCTTAGCCAAAAAAAAAAAAAAAAAAAAAAAAAAAAACCCACAAAAAAAATGGGAAAAAAAAAAAAAAAAAAAAAAAAAAAACCCACAATCAAAATGGGAAATTTACGCAGCAAACCTTCAGATGTTATGTAACAAAATCTAGCAACAAAGGGAGATAATTATTATTATTTTTTTCAATACACACTAAAATAACAAGAGATGAATTATTTTTATTACTACATCCCTTAATGTCTTATGCCAGCATTCAAGAGGCACTTCAAGTTCCTTAACAGAAAATTTCCTCCTTCTTTATCATAGTTTCTTTAACTTTTAAACAAAATCTAAGGAATATATATGTAGTACCATTCAATCAAACAAAATTCCCTGGCCAAAGCACATATTCACACAAATTCTACCTCAACTCTGATTGAAAATCAGCAAACTAAGAGACCCAAAAAGCAAAATTAAGCAAAACCCAGAAATCCCATATCTCAGAATTTAAATATCGAAATAAAAATTTATTCTTCGTCAACTTAACCAATTAACTTATTTTGCTTCTCTCGTTCTAGAACAAAATACCCTAATATGCTTTTTGCATATAAAATAAGAGAAACAAGAGAGAAAAGGGTTTATAAGTACCATCTCCGATTTTGAGCTCGGCGGCGTTTTCTTCCTCTTCTCCAGACATATTCAGAACCCAAAAAAAAAAAAAAAAACGAACAGTTCTCCTGTTGATGGCAAAGCAACGGGGAATCTGCCGAGAAAAATTAATTAAATAAATTAGTTCGCGAAAATTAATTCCGAGTAAATTCAAAGGAATCGAAATCAAGCAGACCTAATTTTCGTTTTCTTGAGAGGAAAAACGTAAAGAGAGTTGGAATTCTAGCCTAGGGGTGTTTTGCGAGATGGGCAGGACTTGGTTTTGTTGATTTCACATAATCACCCTTCCATTTTTTTTTTTACCCTTTTTTTGGATTATTGACACGTTATCCCTTGAACTCTCTTAATTTGGTAATTTATACCTTAAACTCTCTTAATTTTTCACTTTTAATCCTGAATTTTGTTTGTGGTAATTTAACGGCGGTCATAGGAGGTGACGATCGGGCTGAGCGGAGGCCAGCCAATTATGGGCTGAGGAGAGGCCGATCAGCAACTCACTCATCAATCAAGTCAACAAAAAAAAAATCACTCATCAATCAAAATCTCTATATGAACAAGATATTTATCTATTAAACTCTTTCTGACTCGCAGATATTTTCTCATCACATTCTCTTTTTATTTGTGTTAATAAACCCTATAAATTTTAAAATGTACATGTTGTGCATTCTCAAGACTAAGGACGTTACTTTCTTTGTTTAATGGAAAATTTTTCATTTAACCATTAAGTCAACAAGATTTTAGTATAGTCACAAATCACCACCAAATATAAGATGAATTTTGATCACGAAAAAAATACTTAATCCGCCGATAAAGATAAATGAGGCGTAAAAGCGAACAAGAGTACCAAGACCTAAAGAGAAAATACACGCTCGACATATTAATAATCAATAGCGATAAAAACTTGTTTAATAAAACCACTACAGTCAACAGATAAAACCAATCAATCGAGACTAAGATACTCAGAACACTAGAGTCACCCATAACACGATATAGGATCAAACCTAACCGACTATACGTCTATACTCACCATCACCATAAAAGAGTGAGGCGACAATTTTCACTATTATATTATACAATAAAAACATAAATCTAAAACGATAGAATCAACATTACTTTTATTATATTAAAATAAAAACTAAAAACAAGTTAAAATTTCCAAACACACGAAGTAGATCATTGTTGATAAAACTAATGACCAAGACATAAAAGGATCGTTACTTCAATTATAAAAAAAAAATAAATAAAAAAAAATCAGAAAACATCGTGAAAAGTTATGAAAATTTTGAATATTTACTCTAGAACTTGATATTTGTTTTACAATTATAAGAATTATAGATATTTGTTTTACATACGTAACGATTCTAAAACACATCTCATGTGTTGGTTGCTTAAGGGTTGGGAGCTTAATTGGGAAGCTCGGGCCTATTCACGGTTTTTAAGGGTATGTTTAGTTTGCTGATTCGAGTTTTTAATTCGAGTTGAGATATAACTTTATGCGAAAATTTTTTATTGTAGCAAAAAAGTTAGATGTGACTGTTTCTGAGAGCTTTTTAATGTAGTAAAATTCTAATTCTAAACTCGAATCGGTAAAATGAACGGGAATTAAATAATGCGATCTAGAATACCGTTTTTTACGATTACCATTTCTAAAAATTTCCAAAGCAATTGGGTACAGTTTTTAATAAGGAAAAATATGTTCAACAAGCCCGAATGCAAATTTTGAACGTATACGTGCGTTTTGACTGTTTTACCCTTTTCCAAAATTTGTGATAAAAAAATCATATTTTGTGATCAGATTTGGGAAAACATTCTTCTGCAAACTTGTACAGTTTTTCATGTTCTAAAATTGTCATGTTTTGTCCAAATACAACTAATTCAGTCATAAGAGAATTTGAGTTTTGCTACAGTAAAAGACTCTTAGAAACAGTCACATCTAACTTTTTTATTACAGTAAAAAGTTCTCACATAAAATCACATATCAACTCAAATTAGCGAACTAAACAAGCTTTAAAATAGTCTTATGAGAGCAATTAAATAAAGAGTTTAGAAAAATAAAAAACTTATTGTTAAAAAGAATGAAAATTTTCACACTTTATCGTACTAGTAGATTTCTATTTCAACTGTCAAATCTTATCAAATTTTATTAATTTTGTGTACATCTTATTTTGATGTGATTTTGATCCGATTTACTACGGTGTATGTATACCTACCATAAAAAGCTCCTAAAAAGAAAATCCGTAAATAACTACAAAAATGTGTATATGATCACACTCCATTCAAACAATAGCACCATTAACATGCTACAATGGTTTTCTTGCCAATAGTACTCTACTTCTCATACCAAACTTAGCCGCCCAAAATGCTCACTCCTTTAAAGGCATGTACTCTACAACATATTTCCAGCCCAAAAAGGAAAGTCCCACTGCTCAAGAGAAATAACCAAGTGCAGCCAGTTCTTTTGAAGATTTCTCGAATTGTACAAAAACAGCTTCCTCTGCCACAATCCAGCCGTTGTTGCTGGAATTCTCTTGATCAGACGAGGGTAGTGAACAGCTCTGATGAAAGAAGGAAATTGGGAGATGTAAGAACAGTAATACAGTCTTACTTCACAGACATGTAGAAGAAGGGACAAAGCATACAAAAAGACTGAAAAGTAACAACTTCTAAAGCAGAATAGCCCTTGCCAAATGTTCAGAAGTCCACATGGGAGAAATGAAATATGCTCCAAAATGCAAAGCAAAAGATTAAGCTTCAAAATCTATGGAGTTTTCCATTTTTTTTTTTTTCAAATGAATCTTAAAACTCGATATTAAACACAACTTGCTTCCAAGAAAAGTAACTCTATCTGGCTAGCGGTAATCCTTTTTAACTGATTCTATTTTCCTTTATTTTATTTTGTTCTTTTCCTATTCTATATCTTTTCAAATGGCAGAGGTTGAACCTCTAACAGAAAAAGAGGCTTGCGCAAACCAATCGAAGGACGATTGATGTGCCTCGGAAACCACCAAGAAACAATTTCATCATTGGAAGGAAAGTTTTATTTACTGTTCAAACAACCTAGAAAATGGCTGAACTCACATTGGAACAAGTATATACAATGACGGTCATCCAGTTCCAGTTCTCCAGTGACTGTCTTTGACTATCATCAGCTGCTTCTTGCAGAAAATATAATAACGGGGGCATCAATTGCATTTCAAAGTGCCTTGAACCACCACATATCCTGCACTTCCCAGGGTCGCCTTCCTCTTTTTCAGCCATAAGCGGCTTTCCACCATACAAGTATCTGAGCAAAATGACCATAACTTTTAATAAAAGGATATGGTTTGTGTGAAAAACGAATTTAAGCCACTGATGTAACAATAAGATTTGTTTCACTGATCAAGCAGAAACTATGATTACTGCCAGAGTGTGAATTCATGCATGTGCTACTCCTTTCAAGAAAATGCATATGATAAATGCAAAAGAAATCTCTGATCAGCAATTCTCTCAGAATTTAATAAAGTCGTGTCTGATATGACTACCAAGTGCAGAATAAGATTATCTCCAGTTGCCACTTTCTTTTGGAGGCCGGGTAAGGATAACATACAACATATGAGTGGCAACTGATCCCTTGACTAATTATGCTATTGCTAACAGGCTTCTACTCAAATGATGTTTCATCATCAAATTCCAAATTGATTCAATACCTGAAACACTGTTCTGGGTATGCGTCCAATCGTTTCTTGAACTTAAGGTAAGTCCTGTCAGTAGTTAAAGCTCTATCATACTCGTATTTTTCCTCTGCCCACGATTCTTCTGGTACATTATCCTCGCTGTCCCCTTTATTCTCTTCGTTCTCTTTAATTGAGAGTGATGAGTAATTTGAACAAATAGATGTGACATCCTTTGAAGTTGGTTCCTTTTGCATGTATACATAAAAGCAAGGTACAACTGCAATCAGAAAAGCCATTAACCAATCACATTATCTTCAGCCAGCTAAAATAGAGCAAAAGGGGGCAAAAGGGTGCAATTATCAGATGTCAATTGTGCAACATGTGAGGGGAAAAAAATAAAATAAAATAAAAAATGGACAAAGCCCTCTTCTAATCTCTCTATGTTTTGTACTCAAATCTTTTTCTAATTTTCCTTCCCTGACTTGGAACAATTCTCTCAAAGTGCTCCATTTCAGCTCAAACAAAAAAAGCTTTTTATTTAAAAGCAACCAAGAGCGATATCCTGTAGCAAGCCTAACCATGCTTTCCTTTTTCCCCCTAGACACAAAACGCAGCATGATAGAATAAAATAATGCAAAATGATTAAAGCCGTGAGGTTGAGACTGAAACTTTCATAAGATTCAAAGGCTAGGTAACCCGGAGTGAGAAATAGACGATGAAAATTTGTTTCATGACCGACCATACCAGGTGTTTTAGTATCTTCTACTTGCAATGTTGTGCTTGACGATGAAGGCTTGATATTGGTCTTTGATTTCTCGTTGCTATGGGATTTCTTGGCATGAGAAGCCATAGTTGCAGCCTCAAAAAGTGCTTTGCCTAACTCTTCAAGATCCAAGTCTTCATCATTTTCATCATCCCAATCGTCCCCAAAGCTTAACTTTGAAACCGTTACAGTTTGTCGTTGGACCGATTCCTGAGTGATATTATTTGATTCCTCCACATCCTGTAATTTTTGAATACGAAGGGCTCGCCAGCTAAATGAATCCAAATACTTAGACCAGGTCAGGTTTTAGTAATTGCAGAAACAAGAATTGGTACTTTGTGGTCATAATACTGAGAGATGATTTCGAAAAAACCTAAGAGGAGTGCTCCCACATTTTGGGGTCAAACAACTGAGAATAAAAAGAACACGCTCTTCTATCTTCAAGCTTTTACTTGAAATTGGAGCATAAACCTGGAACCAACAAAAAATATATATATATTTTTAATGCCTGATATGTCCAAAGCATTAAGGATACATTAGTTTTAAGGATGCTAAACCTGTGTTATAAGACTGAGCTTGCTTCCACATACACTGCAGTTAAGCAAATTAGATCCCAGAGCATCCTTTGTAAGAGGCCAATCCTGTTATGGAGGAAAAAAGGGATTAAAACTAAAAAACTTCCAATTACACATGAAAATATGTTAGCAGATCCAATTTTCACTCACAGGAAGTCCACCAACTTTTGTAGTATAATGATCAGATGGTTCACGATTATCATCGGCCCATGGTCCCGGCATCCCCAGAAGGACCTCAGCCATCATCAAGGCTACTATAACATAAAAGAATACGCATAAATGTGGTCAATAAACATTACACTTCGCAAAGAGAAAAACAGAATCCTTGTATAGCAGCCAGGCACGAATGAAAGCATATTGATAGGAAGTTGCAAAAGCAAAAAAAGACTTTGATATGAGCCCATTATGATGCATAAGACTACATTGGTACCTTCAGTTGTTCTCTCTTTCTCTCTCTCTCACACACACACACACAAAAGTAGATGAAATACATAAATCAAAACATGCTTAAATTTCCATTTCTCCACCCTCCTAGCTTTAAAAGATTGTGCCACCTAATGTTACTCTAGCTCAGCAGAATATAGCCTGAACTTCTTGAAAGATTTTCAATAAATTGAATGGTACTAAATCATCAATATCCGTTAGAATTCATCATCAAAAATGTTAAAATCAGAACTGACGTATATATCTTTTTAATCAGTCATGTTACTGATGTTCAGTAATTTCCCAAAAAAAAGTCATCTTGGCTTATCCTTATTATTGTCCTTAGCTTTTCACAGAAACAAAATGAGCAAAGATAATTCATAACAATCTCAATACCCCAGGAATATACAATTTCAGCCTTAAACCGAAATGTCTATCCAGTGATTTGAAATGGGTACTTAAAATTTAAAAACTTAAACTTTTGGGCAACTTAAGATGATCACTTGACTTGAGTTTGTCCTCAAAATTATGAATTTCCTAGAAAAAGTTTCAGAGTAGGAAGAAAAAAAAAAGAAACTTTATTCATTTGGTCCAAAAGGAGTAGGAAAATACAAATAAAAAAGCTACAAATATCAGAAACAGGCTTTACCCAGTTGGAGATTTTCCAAGTATCTCAATTTCAATTATCGAACGGCGGTGGCAGTCTTTGCTCTATTAAACCTGTTGGAGAAGGCGAAGTTTTGAGTTTCGTCGGTCCGGGTGAACTATATCGAAAGCGTGGGATAATACGACGTCGTGGCCTCGTTCATTCGAGGTTTTAACTTTAGAATTCTATAATTAAAATCTCTTAAAAAATATCATATTTAATTATTACAGTTAAAATTTTTTTAAAAATATTATATTTTAACTCAAATTTAAAATTTAAATTTAGGCGAACTACATAATTTCCTCATTCCATTTTAGACTCCAAATTATAATTGAAAGTCCCCAAAATAACATTCATTTTCCCTCTTTCACCCATAAACTTCAAACTATTATAAATGGTACCCTAATCTATGCTCGTTTTTCCATGTTTGGCCCATTAGTATTAAAAAGTGAAAAGGAGACAAATGTCTCTTAAAAATATATGAGTCGGAATTTTTACCTCTTATTCTTAATTAATTATTTTTTTAGTTAAATAATTATTCTAACAAAATGGTATTAATCAAGAATGAGTGTAGAATTCGAGACTCAGAAACTCTTAAAAGTAAATTCTATGAAAGTTCAACAAAACCAACCATATGAATCTCGCATTATTTGTTAAAATGAATATTTTAGATAAATCACACATAGATAAATTTAACATAAAAAATAAGAAAAAATTGTGTTACTTTGCATGAGCTCGTTGGCCAACGAGATGTGTTAAAGACGCAATGTTTCTATAATACCTTTCATTAACAAGTAATGTGATAAACTCTTAAAAGTAAATTCTATGAAAGTTCAACAGAACCAATCATATGAATCTCGCATTATTTGTTAAAATGAATATTTTAGATAAATCACACCTAGATAAATTTAACATAAAAAATAAGAAAAAATTGTGTTACTATGCATGAGCTCGTTGGCCAACGAGATGTGTTAAAGACGCAATGTTTCTATAATACCTTTCATTAACAAGTAATGTGAGGTTCACGTGGATGCTTCTATTGAGCTTTAAACTATTTTTTGACTGCTGGATCAAACAGGGATTAAGGAGCATAATTTAGGTGCATATTTGTAAAATTTTGAAGTTTAGGGCTAAAATAGGACAATAAACTTAGTTAGGGGGCACACAGTAAAATTAACCTTAAAAAATAAATTCAAAAAATTTGGGAATTCTAAATTGAAAAATTTAGAGGATTATGCTTTCATTAAAGCAGCATAAAGATCTGCGTCCTTTATTAAAAGATGTATAGATAACTTAAAATTTTAAGAGAATGGAACAAAACTAAAACATGACAAAATTTTAAGAGAATGACACAATTGAAAAAGTGAATTAAGAACACGAAAAACTAATTTTCCTCTTTTGTAGGTGTAGAAAAAATATCATATTACAATTAGGAGTTTTGAGGTAAACATTGAAATTTTGCCTACGAAAAGAAACTTTTGCAACAAACAACAGACAAAAAATTATATCATGTAAAGTTTTTCGTGATAAACAGGGATGACAATAAGATGAATTTGGAGCTAAGTGGTCTTCTCACTAACTCACCCTATAAATAAAAACACTCGCTAATCACCATCTCCACTCCATTAACCCGTATAAATTAAAAGGATACGGAATGAGTTTCTCTATCAAAAGTTCAGGATATTTGTAGTGCCTCATTTACTGAATTAGTTATTTTCATTATAAAACAAACATATAATTAACCAGCACAATCATACAAAACATTAAGTTACAACCTTAGTTTAAATTTCATATATTTATTGTACTTCAAATATATGTTATAGCATATTATATATAAACATTTACTTTAAAAATAGGATATAATTAAGTGGAGCGGGTAAGTGAAGAATATGATTGTTGACTTCTAAATATGTTCCCGTCAAGCGACCGAACCCGTTTAAGCCCGATTTTTCCTGTCGAATTTAAGACGGGTTCCCACAGGTAAATAAATTAGCAGGTAACACTGCCATGTCTCCCCCATTGGCATATATATATTTATGGAATTTTTGAGAGACTACGGGAACTCCTTATTGGCTTATTGGCATGCCCAGTTTTGTGTCAACAGATCGTTATCAATTGTGAAACTCTCCGACATTCTCTCTCCTCGATGGAAATTACTATTAAAGCATCAAAGCTCAATGGTGACTCGCCATAGCAAGGCCAATATTTGTGTGGCCAAATTCGATTTGGATATGGTCAAAGCGCGCTTATAAGTCTCAGGCCTCTGAGCAAATTCGTGCCTGCAATGCGTGCGAGATGCGATCACAATGCAAGTGCCTTGTTGCTCACCAGATTCACTTCCTGCTCATTGACCATTGTTGCGCCTTATTGACCGACGGTAAGTTGCGGCGAGACTTTGGTGACTAGTTTACCGGTTATAGCGTACCGATTGACTCCAGCAACAAAAAGTTACCTTCAGTTTTGATGGCTGGCAATGGCATTGTCAATTATAGGACCAGATTACTTTTATTTTACTTTTACACACCCACACACACTAACGACGACATTTTGACAAATAAATGGGAAAAACCTGTCTTAGGATTTCCCAAATGAGAAGTCTTTCGACAATTTTACTATACATGAACCCCTCGTCTTCGTTGGGTAGGTTATAGACTTTAGAAGTGATTTCCACCCCCACCAAATCTTGTGATCAGTGAACGAAAATCAGCAAGAGAAGAATACAGGATATCCATCAGAGCTTAGGTATTAAGAAAAATCTGTAATTCTATAAATGTAAGTGTGATGATGTACACATGGTCAAGTAGATGGGTAACAAGAAGCTACTTAACCTCTCCTACTCCTTTTACAGGGCAAATAGCTATTATGATAATAAATCTTTGATTGAAATATCAGCTTTAGTTCCATCTCTTGGCATTTTTTGTCCCTTTCGATTTTGCTTTCCCTTGCTGAAACGCCACTCTTTTCTGTTTCTTGATTGCTTCCTTTTCAGCCTAAAGAGGGGGGGCGGGGCAAATGTGAAATGATAAACCCAGATTGCAATTCTCTGTTTCAGATTTTAGGGTACAGCAGATCCAAGTACTTACCTTTGACATCTTTGATTTGGCTTTGACTTTGGGAGCTTTTTCCTCGAGCTCGGCCTCGCGTTCTAGCTCTCTTTCTCTTGCATCAAGATTCTTCTCTAAATAATACTGCAGGTTAGAAAATCACACGTCAGAAATGACAAATAAGGAGCACAACTGGATTATTCACAGCAAGCAAAGTCCGTCCAGACTCCCAAACACAATAACCAGGACCTGTATGGCAATTTGGATTACACCACTGAAAAAGTTGGGATTGAAATGAAAGATGGGAACATGAATAATGAAGTCAGCTTAGTAATTTGCAACAAGATTTCACTGTCCAAACCATTAGGGAACGATATAAATTATCTAGATGATTCAACAGCGGGACAAGTATTTTGATCCTCCAAAGTCCAGCCACGTTTCAAACCAAATGTATTACAGTTAAGTAATCACGGTCTGCTATATCAAAACTCTGAAGTTTCATCAATTTTCAATTTCAGCTGATATTTAGAAGACGCATTAAATAGGGATTTTTAAGAAATTATATCTATGGTTCTTAAATACTGAGAGAGAGAGAGATGGAGTCTCCCTGGGAGCAAAGAGCAAGACACGGCACTTACATTGTAATCGCCTGCATAATCCTGTAAGTTGCAGTCTTTAACTTCCACTACTCTATTAACTATTTGCCTGATGAAGTATCGATCATGAGAAACTGTGATAACTGTTCCCTTGTACTCTGTTATTGCCTCCTGATAGAAGAATTAGAGCACATGTTATGATACCAAAAAACAATTGTAGGATCACAATAGAATGGAAGGAAGGAAGGAAAGAAAGAGAGAAATATACCTCCAGCATTTCTTTAGAAGGAATATCCAAGTGATTGGTTGGTTCGTCCAAAACTAGAAGAGTAGATGGCGTTACCATGAACTTGCAAAAGGCAAGACGTGCCTAACAGAACAGAAATTATTAAAGTTTATGCCCCAATCGGATGAAAATCAGGTTAGGCACAGGATACGGTGGTGTTACAAATTACCCTATTCAAATGACAAGGGACATGTTTTCCCAAGGTTTTTATATAAAAACCATGAAGGTCCACATAATTGTCCAGAAAGAACTAAAAATGTACCTAAAGTATGGTCTACAATAGAATGAAATAAGATCCATACTAAATTGAAATATTCAAAACAAGAAGATCAAGAAGATGAAACGCATTGTAATAATAATAACAGGTACTTCCATTTCTTTAGATCCGTATAAATCACAAAACATGTTATGCACTCATAAAAACTAAACCGAGCTTTTAATAAATTAAGTGGGAAAACCAAGTGTGTGAAAGAGAGCATTAAACAGAGCTCATTCATGCTTACCTTCTCACCACCACTCAGAAGGGAAACCTTTCTATCAAGCATATCAGCTTTGAAATTACAGCGCCCAAGAAGACCTTTTATATCATCAAGTCTCCAGTCCTCTGCAGCTTCCTCTACCGTCTCCAGCACGGTTTTATCTAAATCAAGTGCCTCAGCCTGGAAAAGTAATAAAACTCAAGTCAGCACCAGCAGTAGCATATGACAATTCCAAAATAATAATAATAGTAATAATAAATAAATAAATAAATAAGATTAAAAAATTAATAAAGTACACAATGCAAATTAATGAAAAAAATGAACATGGAAAATGAGAAACTTCATCAACGTTAGTTGAACAAACAACAACGTGCTATTGCAAAAGTAATCACACCTGATTTTGTTCAAAATAGTTCGGAAGGATGCTATGCTCGCCAAGCATAACTTCACCTGCTCTTGGTTTCTCTAAACCCATAATTAGTTTAAGCAAAGTACTCTTGCCACATCCATTCGGGCCAATAATGGCAATTTTCTCTCCCCTTTGAATATTAAGATTTGCCTTGTTAAACAGGACCTGTCAAACAACACACAGAATTAAGTATAATAAGAGATTACTAACAGGAGGAAAAAAAAATATTTACACTATACTTGGTTTCCCTTGCTCTGCAGTTTGAATCAATCAACCAACCTTATCCTCATAGCCAAATTGCAAATTCTTAATTGTTACAACAGATCTCCCACTTCTTCCACGCTCAGGGAACCTGATCTTCATTTGCTTCCTTTGAAATGGCTTTTCAATTAACTCTTCTTCCTGAAGTCTCTCCAGCTTCTGTTGTTATCCAATTTTCAAAACAAAGAAAGATAAGAACATGCTAGGTAAGGAATTGACCCATCCTGGAATAAAGTAAATTCATCACCGTATCAGACCACCACGGAATCCTTGTTTTTAAAGCTAAAAATCAATCTCAATATTTCATTACCGACATGTTCCACATTTAAGGATCATGAATTTGTCCATCTCAAAGCCTAAAATAAAACATCAAGGCGCAGGACAAAAAACATGAAAAATTAAATTGAATAAAGAGAATCTTAAGCTCCGTTTAGTTTCTTTATGCAGGCACCAAACAAATCAATTCTGATTTAGCAAAGATTATTGCAATTCTTTTTCATTGGAAATAGGAATCTCACTATTCATAATTATATTCCAATAACTATCAATGCAAGTTTATTGACAAGGCAACCATTACTGCATATTTTGCCAATTGAAAAAAAAAATATGGAAGCCATTATCTAAACGACTTTCAAAATATGTGTGTGAGTGTTTCTTGTTCGTCTTCTATTAGAGTGAAACAGATAGTATCGTAGCATAAAAAAAATATAAAATGAGAAGGAAAATAGATAATCAAGAGAAAATATTTGAAAGACATTGTGGTCGGTGAAGTAACAGTTATCTGGTTGCTGAAAGTACTGCATAATTCACCAATTCATACTAAATCAGGATGCTAGTGCTACCTATAAAACACACTAGACAGAACAATATTTGCAGCAGTTTAAACAAGAAGATTCGCTAATCATCCATTGCAAATTGTTTTAGCAACTCCTTTGACAACTCAAATTATTATTGAGTCCTAATTCATAGTTACACTAAATGTACCTTTTCAGCGGAAGAAGCACGGCCAGAATTTGCCCCAGCACCAAGCCTATTTATTAAGTCTTTTGTGTGATCTATTTCCTTCTGCTGCTTCTCCCAGGCTGCATACTGAGCTTCAATCCATGCTGCCTTTGCAACAATATACTCAGAATAATTCCCTTCGTATGTTCTGGAGACCCCCATATCAGTTTCCACAATTTTTGTGCACAGCTGATCAAGGAAAGCTCTGTCATGGGATATGATAACCATTGGCACTTCTTGCTTGCCAAGATAACCTTCAAGCCACTCGATTGTGTCAAGATCAAGATGATTTGTGGGCTCATCTAGAAGTAGTAAATCAGGCTCCTGAAGAACAAGATACAAGACAAAAATCAAAGATACATTATATGCTAAGATAGCACCAAGAGTAGGTAGAAAGATAATAGGTCTCCTTGTTATCACTTGAAACAAATTTGGAAATCAACCTTAACAGTGATGCACGCCGTAGCACAAATTCAACAGTGAAAAGAACTTCACCCAAAACAAGCAAATACCAAAAATTCCTAAAGTGAATGAAAGACAACTTTTATGCAGGACAGTTTGCTCCAAACAATTTATATCAATTCGCTTTGCTTCTGAAAAATATAAACTAAAGAAGTAATCAGAATATCAGCACCTATTTTCTTGGTAATAATTTCCAGTAAGATAAAAACGTCAGCAAAGCATGCTTGCACGTTAACATATTACATGAGTAATGCAACAAAACTCCAATTCGTTTGCTTGGCGATTGACTTGCCAATTTCCAATTGATCAATACGAGGCATGTTTACCCAATAGAAGTGTCCTTATATCAGATATAGCACAACAAACTATATCATTTCACTTGGTAAATTTAACTAATCAAATTGGCACCTAGAATACTATTGATTTTTATATTACCTGAAGTAGAATTTTGCCAAGCGACATCCTCATCTGCCATCCGCTGCTAAACGAGGCTACAAGCCTATCCGAATCCTCAGCCGAAAACCCGAGCTCCGGCATCAGCTTGCTGACCTTGGCCTCCACTTCATCCAAGTCAACAGCCTGAGCCTTCCTCTGAAGCGAATCGAACTCGTCCAAGAGCCTCCCCATCAGCTCCAAATCGTCCACGGCACTCTCCAACGCCTTCTGAACCTTCTCCAGCTTCGCCGCCACCACCATCTCCTCCTTAAACGCGCTAAGGAACTCCTCCCTCACTGTCCGGCTCAACGAAACCTCGAATTCCTGGCTCAAAAATGCAATCTTAATATTCGGCTTCGCCTTAATCACGTTTCCGGAATCCGGCTCTTCCAAACCGGCGATAATCCTCATCTGCGTCGTCTTCCCCGCTCCGTTCACGCCGACGAGACCGACTTTCTCGCCCTTCTTTACCTCCCAATTGATGCCCTTCAACACGGTGACGCCTTTATAGGTTTTGCTCACATTTTCCAGCTTAATACCGGAGGAGATTCCAGAAGCGCCGCTGTTCGATTGTTTGCCGTCGCGTTTGCGGTCGAATTCGTCAACGGTTTCGTTCGAGAACAAAGATTCGATTTCCTCCTTGGTCATGGTCTCCGGAGCCGATTCTTCGACGGCCACCGCCGACGAGCGAGCAGTGATTGAAGAAGAACTTTTCCTTCTCGAGGAAATTAAGGTTCTGGTTGTCTTGATTGAGTATGTATTACTTCTAGTAGATTGAATGCTCGGAATTGAGCGAGGAAGGGACGAAAGAGCGGCCTTTCGAGCATCGAGGAGGGCAGTGCCGGTGAAGAAGCTCGAGCGGAGGTCGAGGCGGTGGAGCTTCGTGGTTAAGTCCATGTTTGGAGAGTGAGAAAGAGTGGGAATTCCGGTGAGAAAATGAACGGGAAAATGATTGTATTAGAAATTTATGGGAAAGAGAAGGCACAGTTTCTCTCTTTCTCTCTAAGAGCAACGGAGAAACTCTCAGCCAATGTATTAAACTCCAGATATTGGCGAACACTGTGTCAGTTTTAAGTCCATTAAAATAAAATGACAATTACACCCCCCAAAAAAAAAGATTTAAAACAAATAAAGTAAAGGCCGGGGGGTAAAAGGAAAATAATAGAAAGAAAGTGAAAGAAAACGAATGATAGTGAATTTTTTGGATCTATTTACTTGCTTTTTCTTGTTTCTCTTTTTCCTTTTTTTTTTTTTTTCATGCTAGTTGGTCTTGACAATATCATATACATTTCTATTGAAAAAATGTTAAATTTGGAAAAGAAAAGCTAGCTAAAGACAACCTTTTATTTTTTTCATTTTCCCCCTTTAAAAATCTTCAGAATTACTTTCAAAAAAAAGAATATTCGCAGAAAAAAAACCATCAATATCTCTTTTTTATTAAGAAATGAAAACGTTTTTTCTTCCTTTTCTTTCCTTTATAAAAACTGAAGAATTATTTTTCTTTTTCTTTTAAGAAATTTTTTTTTTTCTAAACTTTTATTTTTGGTGGAGGAAAATAGAAACAACGAAAGGTAGGATAACACCCTTGCGATGGTTGTGGTGCAGAATCCGCCGCAGAATTTGAAGAAATTGATACCCTCCCGTCACCGTATGACACGTGTTCTTTAAATGAGAGCCTACGCAAACCACGAGTTTGTCAGGCGATAAGTAAGACGTTTGGTAAGAAGATTTATATCCTGATTATCATAATTTGTTATAATATTTTTTTTTATAAAAAATATACATAAATTAAAAATAATTCTAATCTCATAATTCTAATACATGAACTAAACATATGATTCTCAATTTATGTGTTTTTAATGAAAAAAATACTATAACGAGTTATGATTCATAATTCAAACCATGACACGAATTCTCGTATCAAACATCCTATAAAAGATTTTCTCTACTTTTTCGTCAATTATGACCCCATTCATTTTACCGATTTTAGTTTAAATTTTACTACAGTAAAAAACTCTAAAAAACAACCACATTTAATTTTTTTACTACAGTAAAAAACTCTCATATAAAATTATATCTCAACTCAAATTAAAAATTCGAATCAACGAACTAAATCACCCTATATTTTTTACAGTTTTCTACTACCATTTCCATTATTCTGTTATATTCAATCCTAGATCCTAAAAATAAACAAGATTCATTGTCGTCAGTTTAAGAAATGTTACAGACTGCAAAATGACATTTGTTAGAATTTTAACTCAAATGACTTTTTCAAACACATCCAGATTCCAGATCTTATTCCTTGTTAAAATTAACAATTTACAGGTACATTCAAGCACCAGTTTATAGTAGGAATATGAAAATATGATTTCTTTTTGGAATAGTACTGGAATTGTTTCTGAAGTTATGTTTAGTTATTTTTCTAAAAGTGATTGTTTTGCGTGTAAGAAAAAAATAAAACTATATTAAGTTATACCTTAGAAAATATAAACTAAAAATGTGAAAATAACTTTTAACTATTTTTTATTTTCTTAATAAAAATTATTCTCATAATTATTAAGTTATACCTTAGAAAATGAAAATCAAACATGTGAAAACAAAAACTTTCAACCATTTTTTATTTTCTTAACAAAAATTATTTTTCGTTAACGTTTTCAAAGCATTTGCTAACCAAATATGATTTAGAAAACATTTCCGTTTTCATTCCTCAAAATGCATGAAGAAACATTTCCAAAAACATTACAAAACAGTAGCAATAATTTCTTGGGAAGTACTGGGCTGAAATCGTGTTCGATTATTTCCTGAGTAATTGTTTGTGTATGCGAAAAGCAGAATAAAACTGTCTTTGGTTAAGAACTTGTGTAACGAGAACATTAGTTACAAAATCAGCTCATATCAGTACTCAACCAATCAATGTTCACGAAGCGAAAAAAATCTAACACACATCGGATCAGATCAACATTAAACTCAACAAATTTGCAGCTAAACATAATGAAAGATCATCAAATCAGAAAACTGCACCATACCAGGTCTGCAAAATCAGATCAGCTCCACACTCAACAAAATTGAAGCAAAACATGATGGAAAATGGATCTACAAAATCTGAAAAATGCACAAAATAAGGTCCGCAAATAATGAAAAACGTCCCTACCGCCAAATTCGCTCCACAAGTCAGGAAAAGACGCCCTGAACGCCTACTGTTATGTTGTCGATCTGGGGAATTCCCTAAATCGAGGTCGGCCTTCAAGCTCAGCGAAGGAGATTAACAAATCCGACAAGGAAGCAGCAACAGAGAAGAGCGCGAACAACCTTTGAGCAACAATTGATAGGATGATCGATAGTAGAGGGAGACGTTTTGGGTGAAGAAGATGATCTACAACAGGAGAGAGCTTGGGTTGACGGAGATGAGGAAGAGCACAAGAGTTTAGAGATGAATCAGGTAGTTATCAGATTTTCCTAGTGCTAATCATCTTGATTAATTTGATCTACTTCTACCGACACCAATGGCCAATTGGCCATTAAATCCAACAACTCAAAAATGCGCAAACTCTGCGCCAATGTAGAAGCAGCATATGAGGACTTCCAAAACTAATGATTTCCTCTGCCCTCAGCCTTCTACTACAAGGTACAAACTACCAAGAAGATAAAGAACAAAACGTGTTGGTGTTCTATGACTACTACACAAGTTCCTATGATTTTGACTCTCGAAAAATTGAAAATCATCTTCTTTGGTTCCATAAAGAGCACATGTACAGTTTTCCTAAAATAAATAAATAAAATAAAGAGCACATGTACACGTTGCTATTGATTTAACTGTAATTTCTATCTTGGTTCATCGAATCTTTAGTCAGAGAAATGGAGCCACTGAAAGGGAATAGCTTCGAGGAAATTTTCACAAAATAGGATATTAACCACAAAATAATAATGATGATTATGATGATGATGATGATGATGATGAAGAGAAGAAAAATGAACGACACTCACGTAACCACACACATGAAAGAAGTGTTTCACTACGTCATAACAGAAATATAAAAGTTTTATGGGCAGATAAAGTAGTAGCAACAATAATAGCTACTCACTCTTCATTAAAAAATTAACCTACAAGAGCTAATTGCAAGAACTAAACTGATGACACAAGTGATCAGGGAAGACCATAGAAGACATTAACATGCTAAAATTCAATAACTGTTGAATGGAGTTCAGCGATGCATAATAGCAACGGTCCAAAATTTAAAGAGAACATTCAAGGCGTAAAATTGTCAAAAAAAAGACCAGTTAAACTCAAGGATCCATGATGTTCCTTGAACCAAATATATCAGTTAGCGGTGAACATAAATATCTGCAAAACAAGTTTAAATCTATAAGTTGTAAACTAACAAACAAACAATAATAAAAACTCATACAGAATTGATAAACTTAAACAAATAATTATAGAAGAAAAAAAAAAACTTATACAAAATATTATATGATCTTTGACATTGAAATTTTTAAAAAGCATTTTTGTTCAAGCTCATTGCCTTCTAGGGGCACACAAATATATGCTTAAAGGTACTGAAATCGTTTAGCTTTTAAACGAGAGAAAACTACAATTATTTCAAAGGAGAAAAATTAAAAGGCCAAGAAATACGAGATGATAAAAACATAGATTTCATAAAATGTTTTTAAGATTCAGCTCTTTGCAATAACCATCAGCTCCTTAAACTTCAGAAGAATCGGCAAACCAGTACAAAAAGACTGTTGCACCTATGAGAGATCTGCACATTGAATAAGAGAGCGTGAAAAGGCAATTTGAAAAAGAAAACGATTTCAGAACCGGAAATCCCTTAAAACGTTTTAGTAACTGTCAGGATTTAATACAATAATGATAAGTTTAAAAAAAAATTAGTAGATCTTACACAAAGTAATAATAATAAATCTCTAAAAAGCACCAGCATTTTAAACTCAGTAAGGTGCTAGGCGGAACAAAATTTCTAAAGGAAAAAGAAGTTAAACCATTTGCTACAAGAGTTTGAAAACAATGCATAATTCTCTTTCACACAGAAATGAGTAAACGTGTAAACAATGATAGAATTGGGTTTACAATAATTTTTATTTTCATGGACACAAAAATATTAGTTTAGAACATTTGTAAAACCTGATCGTGCACTAGAAAAATAAATTCCAAAAGAGAAACAGAAATTCCATTCAAGATTCCAGATTCCAGATGGAGGATAGTCAGACCTGACAGGCAGAGATAAAAACCAACTATACTCTAAAGACGTCGCCGCACTAAAATGTTGAACCCTATGTACGGCCAAAAAAATTAGGAGTATACTTCAAGTATACACCTGAATGATAACTAGGAGTCTCGAACAACACTTCCGTAAGGCTTTATTAATTGATTGAAATTTGAAACTCACTTCCAACAAAGTTTCTTAAAGTCACAAGCTTAGCGTGTACAAAATTTGGCCACAGGCCCTTAAAATAGTTGTTCTTCACAAATTAACAAGATGGTCGCCACCGTAGACGCTAGCATACGCTTACAGTCTCAGTGTCTAACTCAGGCATTGTTTAGCTCTTTCAACATGTGTTTTGACTACTTTTCCACAGACGAGCAAAAGTTTAATTAAATCATAAGTAATTCTCTTACCCTTGATTACAGAATTCTACTAACAAACACGGGTGCTTCAATACAAATCTAATGTACTGCTAAAGTCTTTCTTCTTAATGATGATAAAGATTTGCATTGGACAGCAACTACTTTAAACAAGCACAAATTAGTAAGATTGATTTTTCAAAACTACCACCAATAGTTTTAAGAGAAAATCAAGATTTGTATTATGGTTACAAGGAGCCTATGATGCATTTACGTATCCATTTCTAAGCCAAATTTACTATTTGGTACTTTCCAATCAGGAATGTAAGCATGATGGTACATCAAAACAACTTAAATCTAAATCATCCAAACCTCTAAAGTTGTATTAAGTTCCTAGTTACACTCCTCTCATGATCTTTGAATTGTTTCACTATCAATCTATCTCTGTATCATTCCAATTTTGTCGGATGTCCCTGAAAAATACCTGTACAGGGTACTAGGACTCAAACATCAAGATAAGTTATAAAGTAAAATGTATTTTTTCCGAGCATATACTTGTTACTTAACATATTAATAATTTTTGGTGTGAAGAAACGAAAATGATTGACCTCATTACTCCATTGGGTTGTTCTTTTATTAAATTAAAATCCGAATAGGTCCAACCAAAATCACTTAGTATACAGTTTTACGTATCATACCTGGGTGAAGCTAGTGTCCCATGTATGATGGAGCACCGCCATACTGACCAACACCACCCTGCCCTCTTCCAGTCCCGCCCTGCCCCATCTGCTGATTCGAATACCCGCCCTGCATTCCTCCTTGATTTCCATAGGGACTTATACTGGCCTGATTCCCGTACCCTCCTCCTTGAACTCCATGCCCGGGGGCAGCGACTCCTGGAGCCCCCACTCCCACAGTAGACCCCAACGTTCCCAACAAGTTAGTCAGCCCCAAACCGGAACCCTGCGATGCAAGCAACGCTGTTATTGCCTGCCCTAGGGCAGGGTTCAATGCCTGAGCCGGCGCAGCAGCCTGGTTAAACCCTCCAGGCCCCGCCATAAAGTTCCCCGTCCCTCCCGCCCCAGACGTGACTCCACCAACAAACCCTGGATTCTCCTTCCTCTGATTGTGGTGATGATGCTGATTATGATGGGATTTCCCTGGCTTCGGACCGTCAACTGCCCTCTGGCAATGCAAAATGTGGCCTTCAAAATTCTTATGGGGCTCCGCCAGCGCCTTCCTCGCGCCGTCCGACGTCTTGTAAACGAACAAACAAAACCCTTTCGGCTTTCCGGTGAACTTATCGAGCCCTAACGGCCCTTCCTCAATCTCTCCGAACTTGGAAAAGAAAACGGTGAGCTTCTGCGGATCAAGCTCCGCTCCGACATTGCTCACGTAAATCTTTCTCTGCGTGTACTCAGAGACCGGCCCTTGCGGCTGCGCCGACGCCGCGACTGGGACTGGGCCCACTGTTGCCAGCTGGGAAGACGTCATCCGATTGCCGATCTTCTTCTGAGGCTGTTTCAGGGCTTTGCGAGCACCGGAGCGAGTCTTGAAGAGGATAAAGCCGTAGCCTTTGGATTTCCCCGAGACCTTGTCGCAGACCGCCTTGCAATCCTCGATCTGTCCAAACTCCTTGAAGACGCTCGTCAAGGTCTCGACGTTCGTGTCCCATCCCAGGCCGTAGACGAAGATCTTCCGGTGGGCCGGGTCCTCATCGGCGATATTTCTGATCCGATCCGCAACGTCGCGGTGCTTCTCCGCCGCTTCCCGAAGGAGACTCGCGAGCTGCTCCTTTCCGAATGGTTCCAGAAGCTTATCGATCGGTTCATCGTCATCATCGGCCGTCCTATTAACGTTATTGCCGATCTCTGCTTCTTCGCCAGTGCCTTCTTCGTCCCCTTCCTCTTCCTCTTCTTCCTCTTCTTCCTCTTCTTCTTCAACTTCTTCATACTCTTCTTCTTCTCCTTCTTCTTCTTCATCCTCTTCAACTTCTTTGTGTTCTTCCTCTTCTTCGACTACTTCCTCGACGACCTTTGGTTGTTCCTGCTGCTTCTTGGCAGGCTCGTTGGAGGAGCTGGACTCCAGCTTTCGCTTCCTCGCCATTGGTACGGACTAAAACGTCAGAGAGAAGCTCGAGGTAGAAGGTTAGGGTTTCACCAAAACACGGCGGCAACTGAAGACGGCACCCAAAGTCAGAAGCAAAGCCGTTTCTTATACCCGTATCCCTTGAAATATACGTATTGCTTAAAATAACATTTTTAAGCCTCTTACATATTTTTCTACAAAATTACACACTTATTCAAACCCCTTTTTTTTTGTTGAAAGTTGTTATCCTTTTTAATTCAAACCAAAAAAGATTTGACATCCCCACAATTCAAAGGCAACCTTTACGCCTTACGGTAAGGGACGGTTTTTTATCGTACTGGTAATTAAGCCTGTTTAAATTTTTAGATTAACTTTTCAATCAAAAGATTCCGAGAGTCCATATTAAAAATTTACAACATATGATATAAAATTCCTTTTCAATCGTAAATCTGACTATTAAAAAATTAATTAAATAACTAAAATAACTTTACTTAACATTAAGACAAAAAATCTTACCTACCATAAACATTGTTGGATCCGAACCCATAAGCCTAACTAGTGCTGAACTTTCGGGCACGGCGGGCAAGCGCCATTCGCCGCCCATCTGACCTTTTTGGCAGGGCACAGGCTCGAGCAGCCTGAAAAAAATTCATTCCAGCTCCCCGCCGCCGGTGGATAAGTGGACCCCGCCGCCCGCCGGATTGTTTTTTTGAATTTTCCCGCGTAACATGAATTTGTCTGAATTTTGCCCGAATTTTTATGACCGTTAGCCCGATTTTGCCCGTTGCCCGAATATGCCTAAATTTTTTTGACCGTTAGCCCGAATATGCCCAAATTTTTTTTACCATTAGCCCGAATTTTGAACCCTAACGGCTTTTTTTGCCCGACTCGACCGCTACCCGAATTGTGCCCGAATTTTCAAACCCCAACGGCCTTTTTTAAGACTATTGCCCGAACCCGACCAAAAGCCTGAATTTCACATAGCCGTTGGAACTGAATTTTTGGGGGGGAAAAAAAAATTTTTAAGCCAAAAAATTTTCTATAAATACCCCCCCCCCCCCAACCATTTTACTCATCCAAAAACTCTCATTCTCTCTTAATTTCTCTCAACCTCTCTCAAATCTCTCTTAAAGCGCTCTCAATCTCTCTTATTTTTCATAATGGCTTCTTCTGGTTATGGTGGTGATATTCCCATTGATGTCCAATTCAACATCGAAGAAGGGCAATTTTTTAATATTTTTCAAACGTAGAAATCGCAAACTACAAAAAGAGTTGCTGAGGAAACTGCAAATCCGAGCCCTGGTGGACGTACTAGAGGTCGTGGACGTAATGGTGGTGGGCGTGAAGGAGAGGCAAGCGGAAGTGCTAGTGCGAGTGTTACAAGTTCGAATAAGAAATGCAAGCGCACCTCAGCAGTTTTGGACCACTTCAACATATTCGAGGAGGTCGACAATAAAGGTAACATTAAATACATAGCTCAATGCAAATATTGTGGTGATAAATTACAAGGTAACACTATTCACGGCACTACACACTTAAGAAGACACTCTGAAAAGTGTCTTCAAAAGTAAGGAGGCGGACCCGATCTCTGCCAAACACAATTATCGTTTGATTGTCCAACCGACGGTCTAACCACTTAGAAATATGATCCACAAGTTGATCGTATGGAAATGGCACGCTTCGTAGCCACATTAGATCAACCACTTAGTTTTATTGAACAAAGGAATTGCCAGCGTTATATTAAAATTGTATATAATCCTAATGCACAATTTTTTTCAAGAACTACTTTTAGGAAAGATGCATTAAAATTATATAAACAAGAAAAGGAAGCATTAATCAACCTTTTACACTCTACTAGTAGTTGCGTTGCGTTAACAGCGGATATTTGGTCCACCGTTGCCAACAAAGATTATTTAGCTGTAATCGGACATTATTATAAAGGTTTTGATTTAGATAAGAGAATATTAGGTTTTAAATGTGTTATAAAATCACATACTGCCAATTTAATATATAACACAATTTTATCTATTATTGATGAATATAATTTAAGGGATAGAATAATGGCCATAACATTAGATAATGCAACTGCAAATACTAAAGCAATAGAACTTTTTAAAAATGATTTAAGTTTATCGGTAATAATGATATATTTCACTAACATTGTGCATGTCATATAATTAATTTCACTAAAATCAATGTCAGGTTATATTAAAAGAATTAGATTTAGAGATAACATTGCTTGGATTCAAGGTAGTAATCAAAGAATACAAGATTGGTTTAAATTTCTGCAAGCATGTAATCAAAATCCTAGAGCATTAGCCTTAGATATGCCCATAAGATGGAACTCCACTTATATAATGCTTGAACAATGCATCCCCTATAAAGATGCTATAACAAATTATGTTAGTGCAAAATTAGGAGCAGGATTTACAGATGAAACTGATTGGTAAATTGTCGAACTCTTGTTTAACTTTTTAGGTAGATTTCACGAAGTTACTTTAACGCTTAGTGGAACTTATTACCCAACGTCACCATTAGCGTTATGAGAACTTTTAAGAATGTCTATTTTATTTAGTGAATTTAGGACACACGAGGTTTTAGGAGTTCCTATCGCCTCCATGGAAAAGAAGTTTAAAAAATATTAATTTAAATTACCAATGTTGTATGGTTTCAGTGTTATTTTCGACCCTAGATTAAAATTAGATGGTTTAAAAAGTGGATTAGATAACTTAGGTGACTTTTTAGCTATCAATTCTACTGACCAATTTCCTATTATAAAGGAAAAAATATTTTCTCTCTATAGCTCTTATGAAAGTAGGTTTATAAATACACCTCGTGTAGAAGAACCGCAACAACGAGACGACAATTCGCATTCATTCTTGAATGTTTTCGGGTTGTCTAAGAAGAAGAAGAAGACAACGGCGACGACTCAAGGTCAAGAAGAATCTGGGAGTGGATCTTCATCAAGAGGTGGCGGCAACAGCGACGGCTTCAACGAGTTAATGACATACCTGAGTGAGGACTTAGTTGTAGACAATAGTGAAATGTTTGGTTTGATTCAGTGGTGGAAGGCACGAGCATTAACTTAAAAGATCCTAACACGACTAGCAATGGATATTTTTTCGATCCCAGTCTCCATTGTTGCAGCCGAATAAGCATTCAGTACAACCGGCCGAATACTTGAAGAACGGAGAAACGCATTGCAACAGAATATTGTTGAAGCTTTGGTGTGCATCAAGGATTGGGATCGTTCTGACCAACGCTTACACGATACAATCTCACCGGCAAGCCAAGAATGGATCGACGAATTTAATAGATTAACTTTTTATTTTCACGACGATCCTTCTGCTTCAAATTAAATTTTATTATTGTAATTTGTAAATATTTATTTACTTTGTATAGTGTTATTGTAATCTTGTATAGCTTTTGTAATTCATCCCACAATGATTGCACTCTTTTTTCCTTACCAAGTTTTTATTCCAATTGGGTTTTTCTCGGTAAGGTTTTTAATGAGACAATCATGAATTACAAATTTAAAAATCAACAAAGAAATAATTTTTTTTATATAGTTCATGTATTCATTTCAAATTTCAAATTGTAATATATATATATATATATATATCTATTGTTTAAAGAAAAGATTAAGAAATTTCTCCAATAGAAAATTTTAGCTATTGGATCATGTCAAAATCACATTAAATTAAAAAATATACAAACTGACAGTTTTTAATACATATCTAAAAATTGAGAAATAGAGAATTACTGATAATTCATTTTTTTTATCTTACCAGAAAAGCTCTCAAAAAATTATCTAAATAACACTTCATCATCGCAGTTGACGGATCAATTTTATCAATTTTTTTTAAAATACAAAACTACCCTCAATGCATGCCTTTGGCATAGAAATCCAAAACACTCATTTTTAACCAAAAATGCAAAACATCTTTCTTTCTTTCGTGACATTATTATAAAAGAATTCCATAAAACGATTAAATTCTGCAACTATATTCTCTATATTTTTTTCTGACTATGTTCTCTAATTTTTTTTTCTACAACCATTTCTATGATGTTTGTTTCACAATTTGAACCATAAGTCATATATTTTTGTTATAATGCTATATCTCAAAAAATTTATTCAAACTTTCTTTTTTGTGTACCAAACATGCCATTCTCTCTCTTTCTTTATTTTAATTCGGAAAAGTTTTTTTGCGACTTTTTTCTACATTTTACTAACCATTTTCTATTTTCTTTGATACTTATTCCTAAAAATAGTTTTTTTTTTTTTTTTTTTTTTTTTTTTTTTTTTTTTTTTTTTTTTTTTAGTACATATAGCATAACTCTCATCATTTTGTTACTTGATTTCTGTAGTAGTAATAGTAGTAGTTGTTGTTTTGGTGTTTTTTTTCCCCCGCTAACAGGCGAAAAACAAAAAGCCAATCAACCAGGCCCAACAATTAGAAGAACAAAGCAAACAATTAAACATGTCGTTCAGGACGACATACGAAAAATCAACAAAACAGAGATAAGCAGCAAAGAGCCCAACAACAACGACCTCATTCAATTCTCCGATTTAAATTTTTAATTTAAAGAGAAATGTAATTTTTTATAAGAGCATTTTACTGGAGTAAAAAAGTTAAATATAATTTTTTATAAGAACTTTTTTATTGTAACAAACAAGAATTGAAAACTCAAATCAAAAAACTAAACGAGACCAAAGATTGTGCGCATTTCCTTCACGTCCTCCTCACCCAAACGGAGGAGCGGGAATGGAAACCTTGAGCAAGCAGACAGGACATTTTTCACAATAGTTTTCTGTTTCCCTAGAGAACATCCAAACCAGGTTTCTATGAGGAACTTAGGCCGTGTTGTTGTTTTCATTTTTATTTTTCACATTTTTCAAGAAAGAAAAAATGAAAACGAAAAAAAAAAACGTATGACACAATTAAAGACTAAATAACAAAAATAAAAATAATCTTTTAATTTAATGTAAAATGATAGAGAAATAAAAAATAATTTTTCATTATTTTTTATTTTTTGTTTCCGTTTTTTCGTCTCTCGAGTAGAGAGAGAGAAAATGAGACATTAATAGATTTTTTTTATATTAAAAATAATCTTTTGAAAAAACTACCCGCATCTAAAAAAAAAAC